ATAATGAAGTGTTATCATAATCAATATAAGGTGACGATGCTATCATTTTAAAAAATTGACTAAATACGTCATACTAGTATTCCAGATTATTCCGAAGTAATGCTCATTATCAATAACCTAAAGGTTTAGACAAGCGGATTACGAGCCTCATGTTGCAAATGCAGCATACTGGTTTTCGTAATGATGATAGTAGTTTGTTTTATCATTTGGCGCATTGCCACCGATAGATAATGACCTATGCATACGAACCGAGGGAAATGACTTTTTACGGTTTCTTACAACTCACCATAGCCATGTCAATAAAAGCCAATATATTTTGTTTAACAGTAGGCTACTAAGATATTGGAGACTGTTATGATAAAACTAGCTCGGGAGATTCCTGTCTTATTTTAATCAATAAACAGCAACTCAGAAATCAAACATACATTTAGGGGTCCAGATAGAAACATATTTACTGGACTTTGAATTAGTTCGTCCTGTTACGTATGGTTGCTTACATACAACTGAAGATGTGATTAAGTTTAAAATTAGTATTATAGGATGGCGATACTGTTGATAACTTCAATGCCAAGTGTACGTTGCTCATTTATGCTGGTGTGAGTAGCATCATGTCGATTTGACGTAAGTTATTCACGAAGTACATATTCATGTACTTTTTGTACTAAATTGTCTGAAGACAGGAGATACTACCAAGTGTTCCAAAAACCGAAGTCAGCGTTTGAATCTAGCAGCTAAACGTTAACTTTACTGTACATTGCATCTTGAGGAAAATACTGTACTGTCCATTGTACAAAAAATGGATCAAATCCTTAATTCTGTTTATAAACGATTAACAGCTAATCGGTTTCATAACCGCCCTTCATACTATGACATCCACACTTATCAATGTATGTGGAAACAATGTTCGGTGTAACTTCTACAATCCCACTAGTTTATTTAGTGTATGACAACTTTTCTGTACTGATTACGTCTGAAGGCAACATAAATTCATGAAGGTTATTGATGTTCAATTCTGTCTTAAAACAGGCGGAAAATTGTCTGATTTTATATTCTTCATTCTATAAGCTGTGTTTGGTACGAATGAATTTTTATCCATGTTTCCAATAATATGTTCCGTACATTAAACACGAAGTCATTTCACATCATAGTTAATATTAGCTAGTTATCACGGATTGTTCATCCTGTATTACAGGCTTCAAAGATAATTTTTATTACAAGAAACGATAATAAGCCGTGTCTAATGCCTGTTCCATAAACATCCATTTCTTTGAATCCAAAAAGTAAATAGCTTATGACACTTACTGATAAAATGGGCCAACAGTGCGTGAGTAAAGCTTTTGGGACTATCATACGCAGTATTGTTTACATTATTCTGTATAATTAATAGACTCCTACATTTTGTATTCCCTATCTTAAGGTTTTCGTTTAACACATATATCACTGGTGTACTATTCCAGATTTATTACTAGTTGTTCCCCCCAATTACTCTGGTTTTTCTGTCACTAACGAATAAGTTATGTACAACATGTAATTTCCTAAATGCGTTAATGTGTCATCACACACTTCATGTATATTATTGTATGAGTTACGAGCAATCATTGGATGGAGTACAGTCGAGAGTTCATTTGATTTCCATCTTTGTATTCTGATGGAGCTCTACGTTGAGACGAACTCAAGGATCAATAATCATCAGTCTTGTTGTACACTAGTCACTGGCATTTGGAAAATAAATCACTGGTCCTATAGGAAATATAGGTGAACTGGTCAATAGTAGATTCAGAGAATACAACTCTTACTGCTATAACGGCCCGACCGAATCGGCCTCAATAAAATCCACGTATGTTTCTTTCTCGGTGTTCGACCACTTACAATATAAACTATGATTTTAAAGGTCGATATTTCAGTGAAGTAATTTATAAGTGCTCAATGATGTACAAAATTACTTTTTATGTTATCGACTGATGTAGATATAGCTACCGGATTCGTCGTAATGTCTCTCTGTATAACCGCACTACTCTACACGGTTAGTTTGAAAAGAACCGCATCAAAATCAACACAACTTTACATACAAATAAGTTTTATTTAAATCATAAAGTACATCTATTCAGAAGACTACTATCTAATAATATACATGTTTTAAACTATACGCTTACAGTTTAAAAACTGGAAGATAATTTGTATCTTACAAAATAAAATTATTGATAATGTATATATATTACAGTGGATGGAGTTAGCGGTATTCAACTTTTATTCGATTCTAGTACATCTTTAGCTTGGTTTATCTTAGCAGCCAAATATGGAGAACCACCTGAAGTGAATAAATGGTAATCAATATAGTACACTTAAGCAAGTTAGAAAATTATATTTTCATACAAAGAAAATATTTAATAGAAACTAGCAGTTATGAACTTGGAAACAATTTATGGGATGATAGTTTAAAGTTGTTTGTCGGGTGATAGTCATTTTTAACTTGGACAGTTGTTTTTTATTAATATATCCGTAATATATGCAGTTCGTAGTTATTTCATCTGCACACAATATTCACTAACCAATGACTCCCTTTTAACCATTATCGCTGTGAACTGATAATAACTAGACAAGTGGAAAGGTTTGAGTAGCAAACTTTTATTGGTGTACCCTCTTTAAAAGGCCGACGGTAGATAGATGAACATAACAGCCTTTGAATTAATTCATCGAAAGAAATCTTAGTTCTAGAATAGCGACTGGCTTTTGCCAAACTGCGTTACCTATGGCGAAGGCGAGATATCTGTTTGCTAACTAAAGGACGAGTGTACTGCGCAGTAATTCGCTCCGTCCTACTATACGGATGGGAAACATGGCCAATCAGAGAAGATAATCACAGCTTCCAGGTTTTCGATCATAGGTGTCTCTGAAGCATTGCTCGTATATCGTGGGACAACCGAGTAAGCAATGGTGTCGTTAGGAAACGAGTACTAGGTAGGGATGGCAAATCAAAAGGTGAAGTATTGAAACTTCGTCAGTTGAAGTGGTTGGGACATGTGTTACATATGCCTAAGCACAGACTTCCTAGACGATCTATGTTTTGTGGTGTAGGAATATGTTGGAAGAAAACTAAGCTACCTGGTTGGGGTCCACAAGATGATAAAAATCGATGGTTAGAGACCTTGAATGACATGGCTCAAAATCGTTTGCAATGGCGCAGGTGCATCCACTCTTTGTGTTCTATCTAATTCTAACCAGAATTCTTCATCATCTATATCTTTCTCTTTCTAAATTTATCTAACTGAATTATACACTAATCTTCTCCGATGATTGCTAATACGTCTACTATCGCTACCACTATTGGATTTGAAGTGACGGTTGCGTCACTGTGCTAATGTGGTATGGCAATCTGAACTGATGTACGCACGTACGGAGTTCTGTGTTGTATCTCTCTGTCTAGTTCTAGACAGAAAAAAACATGCACATATAGAGACGGATCCTTTTTAATGAATTTGTTAAACAAAATCATGAATAACTTGAGTTTTTGTACTGATTATTTTAATTAACAAATGGATTTCAGTCAGAAAGTATGCATTTCCGAACAAAAGAAAATCCGACAAATAATGTTCATGTTCCGGGGGTTGATTTTCACTAACCTATTCCCAACCTAATTCTATACCAGTCAGCATATCATATTGATATAAGTATAGAGTGAAATGAGTAAGACATTGAAGTAATTGGTTACTTAATTGAGGGGGAGCTATGATTCTCTCGACGGATTGCTGGGTAACATGAGTGAAAATCTCTAAAGTGAAAACTCATACATATTCTTCCTAAACACTTAGCATGCACAGACAGAATAAGTACTCTAGTCTCATTCAGCAGTCTAATAATACTGAGTTACCTAATTTTTTAACGTAACAAAGAAAACTGGCAATAAAGATGCATCAAAACGAACTGTAAGAATAAAAACAAGTAACGAAGTGCAACTATGTGGAATAGCACATTTAAATGTTTGTGGATATAATAAGTGAAAACACCAGACGTATTAGAGGGTTTCGAAAAATTAGTTTTAAACCACTTGCCTTTGCATTATGCAACATTTAACTAAGAAACCTGCAATATTATTCAGCCTGAACTGAGCCTAGGCAGAAATCTACAAAAGTAAGCAATATGTAGATATTTTCGAATCTACACACAACAAGGAACAATCGATAAGCGAAGTCTCATAGCTACTTGTAGAAAGTGAGATCTCTATTTAATTATTGATTACACTGCAGAAATCGATTGCAGACTGTTACAACAGAACATAAATTATCCAGCATACCTTAATATACTTGAAAGTTGATAAATAGCTAGTGTTAAATTGATTCAACATAAGTCAACTAGTAGTAAGAGTTAAAACAAATTAAAAATTAGTTGTAATTTTATATTGAACTCACCTTTATCAGGATGATTAAGAAGCATGATTCGTCTATGTGCATCTCTAATTTTATTTTTATTTGACTGTTGACTAAAATACAAAGAAAAAATGAATACATTTTTATGAAATAAATATGTACATTGTAATGCTTAGGTGTAAAAAATAATTAGGATTGGGTTAAAAAAGAACTATACGGTAAGTAATAACTTTTCAGATGCTCTAGTTGAGTGTGATATAAGTATATTTTATGAATAGCCTTTGCGAATTATCAGCTAATCAGAATGCAGGTCAGTCAGTCAGCAACAACGTAGAATTTTTCTACGTACGGATATCAGTTCAAATCGCCATACCACATTAGCGCAGAGATGCAAATGTCAATTCAAATTCCATAGTAGTAGAAGTATCAGAGGTAATGGAGATTAGGGTTCGAAGATATTATGCGAGAAGTAGAATCCAGTGGAATGAATTTAAAAAAAGACATAAACGGTGATGAAGAATTCAGATTAGGATTTGAGATAAGGCAAAAAATGGATGCATCGTTCAAGGTCTCTAACCATCGGTTACTATTGTCTCGCGGACCCCAAACAAGTAGTCTACAACTATTAACATGGCTTAGTCCAGTTGTTTGCGTCTTCATGGACTTGTGCCACATTTTGGTTTGGCTGCCATTAGCTTTCCTCCGACCTACTCCTACATCAAAAAAACAGCTCATCAAGGTATAAGGTGGTTAGGCATACGTAACACATGTCCCAACCACCTCAACTGATGAAGTTTCACTACTTCATCTATTGATTTGCCATCCCTACCTAGTACCCTTTTCTTAACAACAGCACTGCTTACTCGATCGTCCCAGGATATACGAGCAATGTTTCAGAGAGAATCAGTAACCTACGAATATCTTCTTCTCTGACTGGCCATGTTTCACAGCCACAATGTAAGATGGGGAAAACTGCTAAGCGGCAGACTCGTCCTTTGGTTAGCAAACGGATGTATCGCCGACACTATAAGTGAAGTAAGTTAGCAAAAGCCAGTCGAGCATTCTTCAGCCAAATCGAGATTTCATCAGACACTAGGCCGAAATAAGTGAAGTGGTCAATACACTCAACTACACTCCTTATCACTAGTTCAGGAACCGACGCAAGCCAATCCTGAAGCAACATTTTGCATTTCGAGAAGGAGAACCGCAACCCGAACATGCTTAGATTGTTGATTGAGGTGGTCAGAAGACCCTGAATTTCGTCACCAAACAGAACTATGCCATCGGCATACTCTAAGTCAATAAGTGTGTCTCCTGGTAGAAGGTACACCTCCTGAAAACTCGGACGACGATGATGTTAATTATAAAATCATGTCTTTGCCAAAGTTAAACAACAATAGAGAGTGGACAGCCCTGACGGATACCACTTGAAGTAATGAATCCCGATGACAGTTCATCATAAGCTCTAACTTGGCCAGTAGTGTTCGAGTATAGATTTTGTATAACATTAATGTACGTTTTTGGCACACCTTTCAGTGATAGACACGGTCATAGAACCTCACGATTAACAGAGTCAAATGCTGCCTTAAGGTAGAGAAACACTACTATTGTGGGACGTCTGTGTTCTAGGATATGACGTAGTGTGAATATGTGGTCTACACGTCAACGTCTAGGTCAGAAACCTGTTTCGTTTTTTGGAGTCTGTTCTTCGAGAGCTCTAGGTAGGCGTGAGAGTATTATTGAAGCTAATATTTTAGACACTATATTAGTCAAACTGATTCCTCTGTGATTGTCACCACAGAGGACTTTTGTCCTTTCTTGTAGATTGGGACAATCATGAGATTGAGACCAGTCAGATGGAATTACATCCAGTTCCTAAACTATGTCTAAGATCTCAGTTAATCTCACTGCTAAAACTGGGCCACTAACCATAAAATTCCCACGGGTTGACCCATCAGATTCTACTGATCTCCTTTGCCTTAGATTGCTTATAGACTGTAGCACCTCACATAGATTTGAGTTTGTTTACATTTAACTTAGTTAAACCATTTTTGGGTCCAGCCCTCGTGGTCTTGAGTTACTAAGTGTGGCTGAGCGTCGCTCGATCAACTCGGTGATTTTCTTTTCGGTCTGTGGCTGTGAGTCAGCTTGTGGCATAAAACACTAAACACTTTGCAACGAGTCAACTTTACCTTCTACCGTGGCGTTAGGTGTTTACGACCGTTATTTGTGATTGTTAATATTGTTAGAACATGTTCAACAATGTTAATGAATAATCTGAATAGAGATGAAGTTAATCTTCGTACTTCAACCGAATCGTAGAAAATTACGTTGCCTTCGAATTACGTCGGGATCACCAATTCTGTGGCTGTTGGTATTCCTAAACTTCGTATACTTCCATCCTGATAACCGTTACTATAAGACGCGGATCGTAATCTCAATCCAACTTATCATTACTTACATATATCGATACAATTATCGAATTATTTAAACAGATAATCATTAAAGCTAGTGGAATATGTGTGCAGGTGTTAAACAATGCTAAAGCATACATGCTCAACAATAATAAAAATACAATGGTATAGATAAGTTGTTGCCGTACGAATAGCTCTGTTAAATAAGTTAAGAAAATGGTTGAACCAAGTTAAATGTAAACAAACTCAAATGTGAGATGCTACAAGCTTTCTCAACTTCATTAAGAGTCGGAGGATTTACATCAACTTGCCATTCAGATTGACTAAAAATCGTGGGTAATGGAAGTGTGACTGAAGGCTAGTAGAACTACTCCCTAAATTGTTATGCTTATCGATCCAATCACCTGGATCGATAATGAATAATAGTTACATCTTTTCCTGAAATAATCTCGCTAACAACCGGATTCCTAATACCAGTTTCCTTGATAGGTCTGAATGGTTGTCTAATGTTACCTATCGCCACTGTCTCTTCCATCAACTTTGTTTTAGTTACCCACCACTATTCATAATCATTACGTAGGCTTTTTGGCAGCCTGTGCTTAGACTCTCTCTTCGCTCCTCATCGATTTCAGAGCCGAGCGAGATGAGTTTCAAAATGCAGGTAATATAAATGAATAATTTACTGTGCACACATCCAAAAAAAAATTGGTTAGGATTTAGGGTTACATTTATAAGTTTACATGAGAATTTAAGATCAGGAGTAAAAGTTAGAAATATAGTGGAAGAATGTTCTGTTGACATATGGATCAATACCTGTCCTATTAGTTCTTTTTATTGTAAATAACAAGAACCCATAAATTACTTTGAAAAACTGGTAAACTATGATTCACCTGTCGAAATCTCATGTTTATGGTGTTAAGAATCGAAAATTAAATAATGGTAACTTTCATTTAAATTTTAAAAGACGATGTATATTAATGAGTTTAAGATTGAGTGCGAGAATTTGATAACAATCATTTAAAAGCTAATCGACTTTTCAGTAAATTATGCTTTTACCGTTGAATATTAACACCAGTGATAAAAATGTACCTCTCTTAATTTAACAAAGCTGTTTTAAACATATTTTTTATTACTAGTATACTTAGGATCGATTAACTTCGACTTCAACTACTGCAATTTCTTGTATTATGAAAGTTCATTTACAGATATGAATGTGTATAACTAATCGAGTTCATAATAAGTAAAGCGTTCCCTTTTCATAAACAAAGCCGTGTTTACACGAAATTCGCAAGACTATGTGAAAAGCTGCATGAAATGAACTTTCTTTAGGTTATATTAAGAACACACATGACCAGAGACAAAACTCGAGAACAAGTGAAAGATTATTTTAAATTTTCTATAACTTTTATAAGGTACTAAGTGGAGTTTTGAGTCCAAGCAGTTATAATGTTGATAAAGCATCCTTAATGTTGGACATCTGGTAACACCATCCCACAAACATGAGGTATTCGATTTTAATTGTACGCCGACCGATTAGGTAACCTATATTATCTACACTCCGTATAATAAAAGTACTAACATTTATAGATTAACGGGATTTCTTAGCTTAAACTAGAGCCAAAACATATTTGAAACCTTTTTATTGACTTATCAATGAGTTCATGCAGCATCGTACTACAAATTCAATTTATCATGGAATAACTAAGTAAATTCCAAAAATAAGGAGTTCAAATATAAGGAATCGATGTATTTGTACGTAATTGACTGTTCTAAAATTAATACTTAATGAATTGACAGGAAGAAATAACCTGTTGACCAAACAGTAATTCGTGTACTTAGCTTTGCGTAATACCCAACTCACCTCACACCAAGAATTAGGGCAGCCTCACGTCGAGACATATTTTGTTCAAACCCTCCACGATAGTACTTCGAACCACTCTAAAAACAAAATAAAAGTAGGTTAGAAACTTGATAGGTTTAATGGGCATTTTTCATTATTACTAGTTCGCAGGTGTTCATTAAGTGGGGAGTCTGAAGTGAAAATGGTTGTGGTGAGGAATGCTGAAAGATTACCAGGACGAAAAAGGTTTAACTTCATGATTAGTGGACTTACCAGCACTCAGAATGAAACGTGGTTAGCCAGTTTACTTACTGAGTAATGTTTTGTCGTAATGCAATTAAATTTAGTCTGGATACTCAAGCTAATAAGTACACTTATAAATCTAAATCAAAATGTCGTAGTAAAGCTTTATAAGTCGCTCTTGACCGAATCAACAACTTCAAGAACCATATAGTCTAGCTGCTTTTCACAGAGTTACAGTGAACATGTACTAAACTGCTCTGCGAAATTTGTAATCTAGACAACCAAACTTGCAGCAGACGAAGGCCTTAACGGCTACCTAAACGGTCAAAAACGAATAAAAGGCAAGTTAGGAGCAACAGTTTTATATTCAAACTGCAACATACTGAGTCAAAATATAGGAGCCCCGTCTAAACAACCATTCAGAGAAACAAGACAATAATTTACAAGGTATGAAGATGCAAACAGGAGGAAACTTACTAGTCCCGGTATTTTCATAAGTTCTGTTATGCTACCAACATTTACTCGCCGAGTAATATAGCGTCCAGCAACTCCCACGGCTATCACACCTAATCCCAATAAAACAGGTGTCGACTAAAATATGTATTTAGTGACTACTAAAACTCACCATCACTTCATTACTACCAGTTCTAACGAGATAAGTGGCAAATAGGTTCTAGGAACTAAATAAACAAATATGAATAATACTAAGTAGAAGGAACGTGCAAACAGCCAGCTGAATCCAGCCTCACGAGTGTCGCTTGATGTTGCGCCTGACCTTGATGTGACTTTGATGCTGATTGTAGTGTATTCAAATAGGACTACATATGTATTAAATTAGAGGCTGGCGAAATTTCTAGGCTGTTAAAACATATTCTCAATTTTCTGAAGACATTGTTTTACTTCACTTCGTAAACTAGCGGATCAAGCTGCTGCAAAGTGGTTTCATTTAGATTATTCGTGGAATGGTATCTGACTACAACGATCCTCGTAGATAAAACCCTGGAGTTTTTCCCTCTGAGGGATAAGTTTTCGAGTGACCGTGCATACTCAGTATTTCTGATTTCAGACAAGGAGAAAACAACAAGTGTAATCGGTATTGTTAACTCAGCCCGTATTCCTGATTGAAAGACTGAAAATTTGCGGGGGAAGAAAGTGAATTTTTCCACGTGCTGCGATATTAAGCTTTTGCTGCGTTTTTCGTTACAGAAGTTACATTTACACCCTTATCAAATATTTTTACTGCTAGTCGGATTTGCGAAGTACTCGTTTAAATATCTCCGATCTTTTTTTCACGAGCTAGTATAAACCAACTGATTTCTTTACTCTCAATTCTTGGTATTTCGGTACGCCCCATAATTTTTACTTCAGCTTTCACCAGATGTTCTTTTGATCAGAGTAATCTGTGTATTGGTACACACCGTTTTACTGGTATCTTTTTCCCGAGTTAGGTTTTCCAATCTATTAGCATTTTGTTACTTTATCGATCACTGGCCAAAGTTAAAGTTTTGGTACATTCGTGTAGCTATTTTAGTAACGTAATAAGTCTTGACGTTGTGGTGTTAACTGTCCGAAATTTTCTCGTTTTATTCACATCATTCTGGTTAAAATGGCCATCTAAAGTCATGAATGAAGAGGACTTTTGTGCCACTTCCCGGTTGAAGATAGTATACAGTGTGACAGGAGTAAGAGATGGTTTCACAAAGTGTGTTCCAGTTTGTAGCCTACCGCATTTAAGTGTACTTGTGGTTCGGCCTCACCATGAGAGAGTAGAGAATACTTACTTACTAAAGTGATTCCCCTAGATCGAAACTTGGGGCTTTTTACCCAGATTAAGAAGTTGCCGATAGATCATGTCACCTCAGTTGGTCAGACATCAGACGATGATGAGGCAACAGTTGTGTTCACTAATGCTGTTAGCCCAAGTGTTGTTATTGATCAAGAGTTTAAGAAGCTAATCTAGACCATTGCTGCGCGCAAACTTAATAAGTCCCACACTCTCAGAATAAGGAGATTATCACTCCTAGAAATCCTGTGTATTCTTAGTGATTTTAATGAGTCGGGTACAACTGGATGATATTCAGAGAGCAAAACTCCCTTAGACGAAAAGTTAGACGACATTAATGGAGGGATTTGTACTAAAGTCAAAAATAAAAGAACAAGTAAAGTAAAACCCTTGGAGGGTTCGGGGAAAAGGAATGACAACCCAATCATATCCGTAAAACTCGCCTTTAAGAGGGGCTAAATCGGTTTGATCATTTGAAATTCGAAGAAATAAAAAAAAGCCCACTGACTGGCATACGCGTGATCTGGAGCTAATGGAACTAGCTATCGAAAATGTAGTGCCGGAAGTAGATATTACTAGGGTAACTCAGCCTGGAACATCTTTTGGGATACTGCTGACCCCAAGCTCGGATAAAGGAACAAGGTGGGGCTTGGGGTCAGCGACCATATCCCTCAGAAAACTAACTCGCTAAAAATCGCAAAACCAGAAAATATAATTCATTCCATTTAAACTCTGCCCTGGGAATTAGGAGGTCTTCATTCAGAAGAGCTATGGCGTCTCACTACAAAAGTCGACTTCTTTCGGAAGTCACGATGTCAATGCGCCT